ACCTACTTAATCAGCGGAGATTCGTCAAGGACCAGCATCATCCGGAGTTTCATTCTGAAACACCTTATGCCAAGTGTGAAATACGGACAAAATTACAGCACTAAGATAAGAGGTGCTATTAATCATTGCCCCATCGTTTACCATGGTTGCTTCCATGTCAGTCAGAGCGTCGGTCGGCAAACCTGGAGTCCTAAGTTCCCTTATTAAGTAACAGAATGAAACTTCACTACGTTCTTAAGCATGTCAGTCTCATTTCTTTGATATGTAATACAATTTAGTCTGTTGATATTCCACATGAACTTTCATACCCAGATGAAATGTGACATTTTCTTTCGGTGTAAAATCTCAGCTGCCTCACTTTAACGAAATATCCCACTTGAGGTGTTAGGACAGTTCAGTAAATACGATAAAAGAAGCTTTCCGTTAGAACATATTTCACTCAGCACCGAAAGCGATACGAGGAAAAAACTGAAATTTTCTCAGTCGTTATTATTAATAGCTAGCATTAAGCATCTTTCCAAAGTTGATATTTACTTAAAAAATGTTCCCTACCGTCGTTCCAACGGAAACTGAATTTGAACATTGGATGCAAAATAACAGAATAACCTGTAGGATATCTTAGCTCCAGCTCCTATGATCGCTTCGAAACATTCAACTTCATTACATTTGGCAAAAACTTGAGAAAATGAGCCGAATAGAACCGTTAACAGTGAAATTCATGTAACTCATTTGTTTCAAATAGATCTTTCACTCCACTTCGGTTTGAATGCCAGAGATCAACCAATTTCAGCCAGAATATCTTTTCATCATGTCAAACATCTTTAACTTTATTATGTAGCAATGTCTTTCACGAAAGAAAAAATCATCAACTTACCTATAAACAGGGCATTATGGTTTCTGAAAGAGAGGCAAATGTTTTTTATGAGGCCGTCTGCAAGACGTCTCCCGGCGTATTCCTTATAGACCGTACCTCGATGCATACACTTTGCAACACTGCGTCGTCAGTCAGGTTACAGACACAAGCGTGAACGTTGGATAATTCGCCTTCAATATCTTTAGCAGCAGCTGTTGCAAGCCTATCACTGTGTTTTCTCTTTTTCTCTACAATCGATATGTTTCAGGATGTAACTTCATCTACGTTGGAGTCAGGGTTGTTGAAATCCCACTGTCAGCACATTCGAGCCTTGCGAAGTGGCAACGCTTCTTGGAAACTCCGTGCATCTGAGGAGGTTTCTAAAACAGGTAAAAGCTAATAGATGCAAATGCACTATTTTCAAGACTGCGTAAAACTCTTTGACGTGGATTAATAGTTCAATAACTATAATAGAATATATATTTGCGCCAAAGCATTATGTCTTCTACAAGCAACAACACAAGTTTAAATTTACCAATAAATCAAACCTTTTTATAACTGATTGATTTCAATCGAAAGCAGCCATGACGGTAACATCAAGAAAAAATTCATAGGGATCAAAAGAAATTGAATTTCTCGCTGCTGAAAGATTTACACACGTAAATGAAGGCATGACAAATATGCTGATCACTCAACGCTCCTTTCTCATAGCCTCACTTCAAGACAGCGACTGATATCCTAAGTTTGTTCACTACAGTTGGACCGGGTGCGCCTAATATGCATGGCAACTACATTGGAAATTTTAATAGAGCCTTCCTTAAATGACAAGGTGCCGTGCTATTGTATAAAACAATGTAAATACCATACCTGTATTGAAGTCGTTCTTACAAAATAAGAGAAACATGGCTGCGATTAAAAAACTACTAATATTAGACATATTCCCATCTTGCCTCCAAGATAAACAATAAACGTCGTAGTGTTATCAAACAGCCGGCATTTCACGAAAAGTCTTGAGTTGCACTGAGGTTCTTAAATTGCAGAACACTTGGAATTAATGTTATTAACGTTTAAAACTAACGGTACTTCTGATATTCGCCTTTTAAGAATGAGACAATGATGGTGATAAATCCGTCTGCATGTATATCCCTGTAACCATCAGCTAGTGTATTCTGCTCCCTTCTTCGTTTGAGTAACGGCGTCATGAATCATTTGTCTCGAAATGAGATGGAGCCATGTTTCTTTCAATGAGGGTCAGATCTTCAGTTGAAGAAAACGGCAGCATCCTAGCGAGAACCTAATTGTTGTTAAATAGGCTAGATTTTTTGAGCCCATATGGAGACGTATTCCTTAAATTGTGATTCATTAGGGATTTTCTAAGCCTTAATGTTGATGGTTTCCTTTGGAAGTATTTCAACAATGTGGCTAGAAATTTTGCGAGAAAGTCTGGTGTACTGCGACTGTTTTTCCAGAGGAGTAATGACGTCTGCGATGATGACTTTTGCACATTTTATGAATCATTCCAAAAAGAAGGCGAAGCAACTACCGCTTGTTCAACATACCGGCCAAACACCCAGGGAAAAATCAAGGAGGTAAAATGATTTTGGGCAAACAATTCGTCGGCTATGCTCTGGACTGAATTATCTTTCTTTAATGAGTCATTCGTTATTATACATATTTGGGCATGATAACAGCCATGATGTTCATGCGTTGACACGTAAGGAGTACTAGGTCCTAAGGCATCGTTCATGATGAGCGCATGGTAGATCTAGCGGACATAGCGATGAAAGACGCGTCATAAATTGCAGATGCTCAAATACCATGGAGCCGTGGCCCGTTTAAATTTCTAAACTATGTAGAAAGAAAGTATCGGGCACTGCAATACGTCGTAAAGTGATTTCATTAAGTAGTTAATCATCATATATTTTAATCATTTAGACTGCGTGATTTCTGGTTTACTTTTTTACTTGTGCCCATAAATATAATAATTTTTTTTTCATTCAATCTGCTCATTTTTCAACTTTGAAATTAGTATGAGACAGGTGTTACGTATGGTTCCGTAATATATTAAATATTTTAATTGCGCGTTATTTTGTAATAGTTGCTAGGAACCTGAATGACTACGCGATATCTGTATTTACGTATGTTCAAATAAAGTCCTTGAGTGGTGTTAAAATTCATGCGAAGCAAATAAATATTTTAAGGTTGCCGGTAGTAGGTAAGTTCTGTAGAAATAATCTTGTTATTCTAACGTATCAAACATGAACAGGCTTGTGTATAAATTCCCGAATACTGTAAATTTGTCGAATAACTTTCTGCTGCTTCTCATCGTAATAAGCAGTCGAAGTACAGGTGCAGAAATGATTTTGTTTTCCATGCATGACTTGTAACCTTATACAGTAGCCAATTCATATTACTGCAGCAAATTACGCAACTCGAAATATCACGTTTTCGAGTTGCTCTGATGCTATTTATCAAATATAACTAGACACTGTTTCATTCTAGGGAGTCGTTCGGATGGTAAATGTTTTTGATATGCTACAGCGGTTTAGTCGGTTAACTAAACCTAAAAAGGTTTGAAACAATGGAATTAGCAGGAATTGGTTCTTATATATATATCCGCGACCCGAAAGGAGAAGCGGCGATGGAAGATGAAGATGGTTCTTATAGCGAAGTTATTTCCTGTCCGACAACACCGCATACTACCTCATATTAAACATGTTGAATATGGTTTACGACGGACAGACCAAAGCACACAGCTTCTGCTACATATTCTTTGACGATACTAACATGTTTGAGGTTAGCGACGTCGCTGTGATAGGGAGATATGTTGATGCAGTGAGACTTTGCCAGATGGTGGCCTTACGTTTCAAACAGATTTTGTACCCATTTTAGTTGAGTTGTCTCCATTTTTGCACGTACAAACTACTATGTTGACTGCTCTTTATTGGTAACGAACACTAGGGCTATAGAACGCCGAAAGTTAATTGGTTCAAGTAAGAATTTGCTCTACATTTCATTTAACCAGCTGCAACGATGAATCTCTGGGAGATTCAGTTGTCATCAGTGGTTGGTTACGCTGCATACAAAACTTGGAACGAATGAAAATGATTAGAAGCGATACCAGATGCACTACCATTTGGTGCGTTGTTGCAGTGATTACAGTACCGGCTGCCCAAAGTATGTTTCTAACAGTGACGATAAAATTAATTTGTCAGTTAACTTCTACGTTCGTTCTGTTACTCGTTCGCATTCGGCGCTATTCGCCTTGCTATGAAAAATTCCTCTACCTCTTTGAAATGCGAAGTAGTTGTTTGAATCAAGTGATCTGTCTCTCTCTCTTACGATTTGACCATTCATAAACTCGAATGCAAGCATTTTTATAAGCATGCGTATAATTGGTCAGGGTGGCAAGGGAAACTTCTCGGATAAACGGCAATTTGCGCCCCACAATCTTTTTCCTGCTTAACAACCGTGAAAGGCGTATGCCATTTCCGTAACAGAAAGTTGATGTTTGGTTTCATACTACTGACGCAACTTCCGTCTCAGAATAGTAGCGGCAGTTGATTAAGTTTCTCTTGTCAGCTCTACAACAAGCACACATTAGGCACCTTTCCTCTTGAGAAGTCTCTGCGGTGTAACGGCGAGTTACGGAACAATAGGTTCTTATCATTGACAAGACAGGGTTGAGGCAATGACCGGAATTCATTTTATGGACATTAAAAGCTGCTCGAAATAACAATTAGAGATTCAGCTTTGAAGGACTAGGGCATGTGCCAGAGCGATACCAAGTACAACATCATGCTGAATGAGTAATTTAGATCTGAAGCTCAAGAAACGCCATCAAACTTCGGTCATCAAGGCGCTTATACAAGAATGATAGGAATCCCTCATTTTAGGAAGATAGTCGCAGGATGCATACTCTTTCAGAGAGCGCTCGAAACCTAAGTTTTGTATCCTAAGATTTTTATCGATCGCTGACTGATTACCTGGTGCCATTTCTCTCTGCACAGACGTATTGTGAATCTACTGTTGCCCACGAGTTTGATTGTTTCTGACCTTCACCGTCAAAAAAATTGTTAGACGATCCACATTCTCAGACTTTTCATTTTCCCACGACCTAATTGAATTGTTTATTTTAGAACAACTGATGTTGGTGAATATCGATAGTGTTCGCCACGAGCGCAGAAGAGCCCAAGTTCTTCGAGAATTTTCGCAATCCACAATACGGCACACCACGTTGTATTATACGTTTGAATGGTAAGTCACCATGGGCTGTTTGGTACCTCTTACGTTTGTGCTTTACAGGACAAAGGTTTATAATGATGGCCAGTTGTACGAAAAACGGAGAACGGTGATCGTCAAGGACCTCATACCGGAAGTTTTGCGGTTCTTTAGTCAGATTGAAAAGTATGATCCATTTTTGTACGTACCGCTGCTGAATTGTCCACTTTCTGCTCCATGGTAGCTGCTGCGACTGATTCTAGCATTTTATGTAAACGAAGTATTACATCATTACATCTTTTTATTGACCCCTCTAGAGTAACCAAAAATTTACTTATTCGTATGGTCATTTAATGGTACACGCTAATATGCTAGGGACAAATTTGCTCTCGCGCACAGCTGATCCTCTGTATAGTAGTTCGGTTGTTCCTGCCTCGTCTCACCTTGGGCCGTTGGTTCACTTTTGTTTCTACTGTAGTGAAATAGAAAGGCAAAATCATGATAGTTCCATGAAGGATCTGCTTTGCAATTTGTTTCATACATCATTATGCAAGCACATCCTGTATAATGCAACATAAAAATTTTCTATGATACAGCAAATGAGGCTATTAGTAATTAATAATTAATATTGTGTGCAACGCCTATTAAATAATGGAAAAGTCCCATACACTACACAACGCTGCATAGAAAGATGCATGTTGGTAGTAACAACAGATAGAGGAAAAGAATTACTAGCTGAAAGCACAAGCATGACTCTGCGATGTGACTCGTATGAAAAGATTAAAGTCGCAATCTGCAGGGAAAGTCACTGGAAGAATGGACTATCGCTTGAGCATTACACTTCGTTACAAGACAGAGTAAATACCACGTAAGAAAATTTTCTGATCGACAGTAGGATGAGTTCGCTGGATCAAAATGGATTAGAACGACAAAAATTTATGCCCGTAACAAGGTTTTAGAAAGGCTTTAATCTTGCAATGGATCGATTAAGGCTGATGATGCATATCGTGCTATAGTTCGCGGAGCAGACGCCTGCTCATACGATTCTCTAAGCCCCTAGAAACAAGGGGACAGTGTGAACGCGCCACTGAAATCCGAAGATAACTGTTTCCATTTGTTTTCAAAGTCAGTAATTAATTACTCTTCCATGGGCAGATTTCACGAGTGTTGCAGTCCTTCCATCCTAGTTCTGTGGGTTGGGGATACTTGAGGAAACCGCAACTCCTTGGTATTTGAGTACCTAATCTGTCTTGGTCTAAGAGAAATCATTCGTTGTTTCTCATTCGGTTCTCTGAAAATCTTAGGTAGTCTATGCGCTAGGATATGTGGAGTTCCAACCCTTGAACCTTTTTTTGTAGTGAGTTCTAGGCAACTCTAGCGGATGAAATGATACGAAGTGCACGTTTCACTGCTGGTGGTCAAATGCCATGTGGCTTCATTTCCTCAGATTCCGCTCTGCAACTGATAACGGGGGGGGGGAAGGGGGAGGGGGG